CGACTGGATTTGATGGTGCCTCTGGCTATGTTAACCCTCAGCAGAAATTTTACGATGAGGAGAATGATGACCGAAGTCCATATCAGTCGCTATTTGTATGCGGAGCTCTAATTATCCAACTTAAAAGTCTGTCCAATCCGAAATACCTCTGGAATAATCCTACACCTCAAAGCTACCGTTTTTTTCGGCCCTTGAAAATCGCACATCAAAAAGAAGACAATGAAATGGCTCTCGAAGAATACAATCGTTTGGGCGAAGAAATTAAACACCTTAAGCCTTTCAAATTTACAATGGGCAAAGGCGTTACAGTGATGGTTGAATTTTCAGTATCAAGAACCCTTTTCGATGGGAAAAATGTGAACGCGATTGTAGGAAACAAAGCCACTCAAAGATGCCCAATGTGTCTAATAACATCCCACAATTTCAACAATCAAAATGTTTTCATACCAAAGGAAGGCTCACTATCCCATGGCTTGGGCCTTTTACACTGTAAAATAAAAATTTTCGACCATCTGCTTCATATTGCTTATAAACAAGAAGTGAAAGTATGGGATGTCACCAAAAACATAAAAGGTACATAGGCACTGCTATTCTGTTATGGCGATAACTAGAAGGTTAATGAATTTATTAATAAGGATTTTATGAATTTCAGAGTCTGTTGATTTGTACGCTGGTCAAGTGAGAGATAGATTATATAATGCTTTTAAAATCAGAGTGGATCAAGTAATACAAGGCAAAGGGACATCCAACAATGGAAATCTTGCCCGAAAATTCCTTGATAGACCCAAAGACTTTGCCAACGCTTTAGATATTGACGAGGAGTTAGTTTGCAATCTCGCTACTATCACTAAAGTTTATAGAAGTGCGTTGGAGATTGAAGTAGAGGAGCTTAAAAAGTTTAGTGATTTTACTTATAAACTCCACTATATAAAATATCCATGGGCTCGCATGAACCCTTCCATGCATAAAATTTTACAACATGGTCCTGATATTGTGCGGCAGTTTCCAATGCCTGTTGCATTTTATGCGGAAGATGCTCTCGAAAGTATGCACAAAATACACAGAGAGACAATTCGGGAACATTCTAGAAGAAATAGTAGAGAAAACGCTATCCTGGACACTTTCAACAGGGCAGTATACTTGTCAGACCCAATCCTTTCAATGGTTTATTTGGACAGAAGGCGAGAAATGCATAAGAAGAGACCACTTACTAATGATATTACTCGATTTTTGAAGCCAGGGTAAGATAAAAACGTTTAATTATAACTAAATTTATAAATATAATTATTTAACTAATAAAACCGCATTTTCAGACAGTGGACTGACCCTGAAGACAGGAGTAATGAGGATTGATGCATACAAAGAGCGACTGATAAGGACTTCGGTGGTCATTCTCCTCATCGTAAAATTTCTGCTGAGGATTAACATAGCCAGAGGCACCATCAAAGCCACTCGTTATCGACAACTCTATGCTCTTCATAGCAGTCTTTTCTAGCATCTGTTTTTCAGTGAATTTTCTGGGTATTAGCCATTCACCCCTTCTTTCAACCTCTAATTTAGGGGTTGATGGTATCCCAATAAAATACACCTTGCAGAAATAATTTTGGAAATTGTTTTCGCCTCCTATGAAAACACTTTAGAATGTTTTTCAGTGAATTTTCTGGGTATTAGCCATTCACCCCTTATTTCAACCCCTAATTTAGGGGTTGATGGTATCCTAATAAGCTTTTCCTTAATATATATATATTTGTTCTAGCACGAATCTCATAAAAAATTGTACTATATAGGTCAATCTCAATGACATTTGTCATCAAATGAGTTAAA